AGAATGAGGTGATTTGATAAAATGCTATGCCCAAGATTACCATCCGAGTGCCGGCGGGGAAGTGGTTCATATAGCCTCGGCTATCACTTCCTTTTGTCCGGTCGTGATGGTCAAGCGGATTAAGGCGTCCCTGTACATACCAGTTGTGGGAGTATGGGTTCGAGTCACTTCTGGGGTGTGAGTTTTCAGTTATATATATATATATATATATATATATATATATATATATATATATATATATATATATATATATATATATATATATATATAGAGAGAGAGAGAGAGATATATTATATATATATTATATATATATATATATATATATATATATATATATAATATATATATATATATATATATAGATAGAGAGAGAGAGAGAGAGAGAGACAGAGAGAGACAGAGAGAGAGAGACAGAGAGAGAGCAGAGAGAGAGAGAGAGAGAGAGAGACAGAGAGAGAAGAGAGAGAGAGAGAGAGAGAGAGAGGAGAGAGAGAGAAAGAGAGAGAGAGAGAGAGAGAGAGAGAGAGAGAGAGAGAGAGAGAGAGAGAGAGAGAGAGAGAGAGAGAGAGAGAGAGAGAGAGAGAGAGAGAGAGAGAGAGAGAGAGAGAGAGAGAGAGAGAGAGAGAGAGAGAGAGAGAGAGAGAGAGAGAGAGAGAGAGAGAGAGAGAGAGAGAGAGAGAGAGAGAGAGAGAGAGAGAGAGAGAGAGAGAGAGAGAGAGAGAGAGAGAGAGAGAGAGAGAGAAAGTGAGAGGTGGTAGTTGTGTTCACTCTTCCATTGCCCGGAAGGTTGGACTATCTAGCACATCGCCCCCCCCCCTCCCTCCCCAGACCTGTTCATCCCAGACCTGAAGCACATTACACAACTACTGGCATCGTTCCTCTTGCCACGTGTTTATTTCAATGTACGTACGTTTGTGTACGTGCAAGCGTGTGTGCGTGTGTGTATTCACCTAGTTGTGTTTGCGGGGGTTGAGCCTTGCTCTTTCGGCCCGCCTCTCAACTGTTAATCAACTATTTACTAGCTACTTTTTTTTTCCCCACACACACACACACCAAGAAGCAGCCCGTGACAGCTGACTAACTCCCAGGTACCTATTTACTGCTAGGTAACAGGAGGCATTCAGGGTGAAAGGAACTTTGCCTATTTGTTTCTGCCTGCTCCACCGAATTACGAGTCCTGCGTGCTATCCACCAGGCTACCAGGCCCTGGTGTGTGTGTGTGTGTGTGTGTGTGTGTGTGTGTGTGTGTGTGTGTGTGTGTGTGTGTGTGTGTGTGTGTGTGTGTGTGTGTGTGTGTGAACGTACAAACATGCGTGCGTGTAGGGTACACATGTGTGTGTACTTCACTCAGCCGGAACACTTTTATCTACCCAAGTTATCGCACAGGCATTCGTGGAGGTGGGGAGGAGAGGGGGCAGGCCGGGGGAGAGGAAAGTTCAGTGAAGAAATGATTCACATCACGTCCACGGCGCCGCAGCTCAACGTGAGGAGTGAGTGAGTGAGTGAGTGAGTGAGTGAGTGAGTGAGTGAGTGAGTGAGTGAGTGAGTGAGTGAGTGAGTGAGATAAGACACACACACTTTCTCACACGCACAATTAACACAGACAGACACTGGTCCGTGTTAACCTGGGGGAGACTGACTGAGTGTTGCCGCGGGAGACGGATAGCTTATTGTGCACCCCATACTCATCCTGTGAGCGGTAGCGCAAAAAGGATCACAGAGGGCACAAAAGGTCTTTATCAGACCTCAATGGAGATTATAACATTAACAATTATATCTATCCTGCACACACCTTATAATTGTAATGTCAGCTAGTTACCGACAATGTTCCATTTCAATAGCTAGGTATTTACGGTTAATTATACATTAATGATATATCTTTTCACTAATCCATAATTGTTTGAGCAATAGAGATATTACAGAGTCATTGGGAAGCTGCTGTTTGTTATTATTAGTCTTCACAATACACTACTTGTTTCTGAATCTCATATGTCGTTTATCTACTGGAAGCGAAATATGGATACAGTGCAAGGATTTCAGATATTTAACCCTTAGTAATAAGATGGTTTGCCATTTCACACAGCGTGAGCTTAGATTTATCTCTAAATGGCTCAATTTTACTACAGTCCAAGATATAATGCACAAGTGTGTGTCCCTGTCTTTGTCCTCACACTTTACACTTTACTTCATCTAGATCCCTATGCAAGCCGAGCTGCCAGAGATACCTGTAGTGAAGTCTTATTGGAGCTGTGACAACGTCACAGCGTTGTCGGGGCGTTGTTGTCACAACGTTGGGGGCCTCGTAGCCTGGTGGATAGCGCGCAGGATTCGTAATTCTGTGGCGCGGGTTCGATTCCCGCACGAGGCAGAAACAAATGGGCAAAAGTTTCTTTCACCCTGAATGCCCCTGTTACCTAGCAGTAAATAGGTACCTGGGAGTTAGTCAGCTGTCACGGGCTGCTTCCTGGGGGTGGAGGCCTGGTCGAGGACCGGGCCGCGGGGACACTAAAGCCCCGAAATCATCTCAAGATAACCTCAAGATAGCGTCTGTTGGTCTGCTGATTTTGTTACTTGCCTCATACACATGTTTGACACATTTCATTGTGATGAACGGTGGACCTGCTAATTCCAGTTTGCACTGCTCTGCTTTCATTAAATTCATCTAGACGTTCTCGTCTAATGACATCTTTAAGGGATCTGAGGAATCCCCAAGTATTCGCTCCTGTTCACCCAGTAGTAATTGGGTTCATGGTTACAAAACCGATTGGTGGGTAGTGATTCCTAGGCAAATAAGTATAGTAAGGCTTACCATGAGCAACGGGAAGGGAAAGCTCTCACCTGCAGACAGGAGTCTTAAGACGTGTTCTCCTATACACGACTCCTATACTCACCTGTGTTTATAATCCTATAAAACACTCACACCAGGATCTCGGTGACCAAACCCCGTTCACGAACCTAAAAGAGAAAGAATGAAAGGTTACCACAATAGATTGATAGATTACATATAACATTGTCTTGACATTAAAGAAAAGAAGGCCAGGTGAAAATATGAGAATTCTTCCGAGGGAACTGAAGCTGATAATGTCGTCGTGACGTCCTTTAAAGATTTGAGTCCATGTTTGTCCTCCCCCCCCCCCCACCTCCTCCCTACGAGCGTCTTAAACAGCCTGGTTGACCAGACCAAGAGCAACTGTCAGAAACTGGGGTCCTCGGAATCACCTCAAAGGTAGGTAGGTTCACCTACATGTCTCCACCTACAAGTACTTGCAGGATTAACCGCTTGTTCTTAAGAACCGTCCATCTACCATCAACTGTTCACTGCAATTATTTTGTTCACTTCGTCTTGGTTCAAGGTGTCTTAACCCCCAGGAAGGCTTTCTGGCAGGAAAATCACAAGATGCCGCAGCTCAATAATAATCACCCTCACTCCTCTTAACCTTATGTAACCACATAATTCCCCATCCACATTATTGTGAGTCCCAAAACTTGCCACTTTAAGGCTATTATTCCAATGCAACATTTCCACATTCCATTCTAAGAGTGCCCCCCTTCCAGGTGCTCTTTCCTCCATCAATTTCTTCCTCCGTATATATTTCTTTTCCACCTCCATCCGAAACAGCTCTGCCTCCACCCCCACTCCCTCAACCTACCCTCCCCACAAATATCAAGACTAGGGAAGCGAGGGCAGACAACCCAGTATGGCCGCCATATCGCTCCCCGCCCCAGTAGGTATCCAGCCCTCTGGCCGGGGGAAAAAAAAAAGGTCCTCCTACTCCCTATCGCATCTAAAAAAAAAATTCTTTGGCCAAATGTGAAGTATTGGTTATTGTTAAGGCGAGTGGCGAGTGTCTGGGCGGAGGCGAGGCGGTGAGGTGAGGACCGCTGGCCAGGGGGGAGATGGAGGGAGCAGCAACAGGAGAGTGAATGAGGAGAAAGGAAGAAGAGGCCGAACAGGAGGAGACAAAACAAAAGAGAAAAGTTGAGGATAAGGAGGAGGTACAAGAGAAGTAAAAGGAGGCAGAAGCGAATGAGGAATAAGATGACACAGAGAAGGAAGAAAAAAGAGAGGCAGAACAAGAAGTTTTGGAACAAGATGTGGATAAAACGTAGGAGGACCTAGGTAACAGGAGCAGGGAGAACAGAAGAAAGACGACAACGAGGAGAAGGAGGAGGAGGAGAAGAAAAAAAGGAGAAAGGGGAGGAGAACGAAGATAATGATAAAGAGAAAGGAGAGGATGAGAGAGAGAGAGAGAGAGGGGGAAGGGATGAAGTGGAATAACATAAGAGAAAAAATGCCAGCATGTAGAAGGGAGGAAGAGGTCGACTTGGAACAGAACAAGAGGATCGAAGAAAATAGATTGAGAGACAAATATGGACGAGGAGACAGGGTAGGAGATGAAGGGGGCAGGGATGAAGGGGGCTGGGGATGAAGGGGGCTGGGGATGAAGGGGGCTGGGGATGAAGGGGGCTGGGGATGAAGGGGGCTGGGGATGAAGGGGGGCTGGGGATGAAGGGGGGCGCGGATGAGGGGAAAGAGAGGGGGCACGCCGCCCCAGGCCCAAACGGAGCTTCATAATGTCCACGACGTGACCTGTAATAAGAAAGACCTCAGCCAAAGCGTCACGCACCAGCTCAGATTTCTCACACTTCCCCCCCCCCCCCGACCTATCAGACCTTTCCAGGGCCTCACCGCCCCTCTTCCCTTTCCATCCGGCCTTTCCAGGGCATCTTCCCCCTTCAACTTCACACCTCTCCCTCAATCTGGCTGCGGCAAAGGTTTATCACACTATACGCCCTCTCCCTATCTTTCTTCTCCACCCCTCCCTTTCCCTTCCATCTGTACTATCTTGGATGACAAGGCTTCAGTGATGCCTCTCCTCCTCCTCCTCCTTTCCCTATCTCCTCTCTCTCTCTTCCCCTCGTTCTGAAGTTAATATTTGTGACTTCTTTTAAAAGGTGATCTTTTTTATGCTTTGTTTTCCACTTCTGTATACGCCATAATGACAGCACCTGCTGCCCCGCCGACAGCACCTGCTGCCCCGCCGACAGCACCTGCTGCCCCGCCGACAGCACCTGCTGCCCCGCCGACAGCACCTGTCTTACAACAGCACTACTGCCTTATAACAGCACCTGTTGACCTTTTAACAACAACTGTTGACCTTTTAACAACAATTGTTGACCTTTTAACAACAATTGTTGACGTTTCAATAATAATTGTTGACGTTTCAACAACAATTGTTGACCTTTTAACAACAATTGTTGACGTTTCAATAACAATTGTTGACCTTTCAACAACAATTGTTGACCTTTCAACAACAATTGGTGACCTTTCAACAACAATTGGTGACCTTTCAACAACAATTATTGACGTTTTAACAACAATTGTTGACCTTTCAACAACAATTAGTGACCTTTCAACAACAATTGGTGACCTTTCAACAACAATTATTGACGTTTTAACAACAATTGTTGACCTTTCAACAACAATTGTTGACCTTTCAACAACAATTGTTGACCTTTCAACAACAATTGTTGACCTTTCAACAACAATTGTTGACCTTTCAACAACAACTGTTGACCTTACAAGAGCAGTAGACAGTTGATCTCTAAGCACGCATTACAGTCAACTTGGCCTGTTGTCTACACCTGAACTTGATGTAATAATTCACAAACGAATGATAACTTTCTGTTTGAAAAGAATCAACCATCCAGAATACTAATAAAGAAACTTGATTTTTTTTTTCAAGTGCTCTCTTATTACTGGCCACTTTTCCAGAAATATGGTTCGGTTTCAGTGGTAGCCTCAGGAACCCTCGTGGGTTCAGTAGAACCCCAAGTTGCAATCCATTTACCATGTCGTGGTCTCATTGTCTTAAAGTGTGTGCATCTGGGAAAACCCAGCACACACACAGAGGAGCGGTCGGCCGAGCGGACAGCACGCTGGACTTGTGATCCTGTGTTCCTGGGTTCGATCCCAGGCCCCGGCGAGAAACAATGGACAGAGATTCTTTCACCCTATGTTCCTGTTACCTAGCAGTAAAATAGGTACCTGGGTGTTAGTCAGCTGTCACGGACTGCTTCCTGGGGGTGGAGGCCTGGTCGAGGACCGGGCCGCGGGGACACTAAAAAGACCCGAAATCAACTCAAGATAACCTCAAGATAACACACAGGTTGGAACCCTTATCACAGCTCCTACGGATTTTCTCATTGATATAATACGTTAATGTGGTTTCTCTGACTATTTATATACTTAGAGTGAACATCGCACCTCACACCTCAGGTGAGGTGCTACTGTGTCCTCGGGTGTGAGGCGAGTGAGGTGAGGGTGAACATCGCACCTCACACCTCAGGTGAGGTGCTACGGTGTCCTCGGGTGTGAGGCGAGTTGTGAGTCTTAGTGAGATACCTCACTGAGACTCTCCGCGTGTCATCCTTCTTGAGGTTATCTTGAGATGATTTCGGGGCTTTAGTGTCCCCGCGGCCCGGTCCTCGACCAGGCCTCCACCCCCAGGAAGCAGCCCGTGACAGCTGACTAACACCCAGGTACCTATTTTACTGCTAGGTAACAGGAACATAGGGTGAAAGAATCTCTGCCCATTGTTTCTCTCCGGCGCCCGGGATCGAACCCGGGACCACAGGATCACAAGTCCTGTGGTCTTGTTATGTGGCCAGCATTATGATCCTCATCACAATGCTGGCGTTTTCTATGCATCGGACTCAATAGCTTAGGTTAGTTGCGTTCGCTCGTTCGCTTCAGGTTAGGCAAAATCCATTCTTTACAGAGTTGGCAAATCGTGAGAACGGGCTGACTACAAGGGATTCGAACGCCAGAAAACCTCAAAATAAAACGCACCAGGCATGCAGAGCTAGACCCCACCTGTCCCATCGTCACTGTTAGGTAAGTAACTTAACTGTTCTCCTTGTGGTTATCTTGTGAGATAACTTACTGAGAATCAGTAAGTCAACGGCCTCATACGTCTCCATCGCCCCGCTCAACTACGGGTATTATTTTTCTTTTGCAAGACATCAAAGCTCACTGTATCACACTCTTTTTCTCCTAGTATACACGAAGACGAGGAAAGGATTCTCTTGAAATTCTTTTCTCATAATGCATCCTGGAATACGGATTCTTCTCTTCGATATGCTTGCCTTTTGTTTGATGGGGTCGTAAGTTACCCACTATCATGGATGGGTCATAAGTTACCCACTATCATGGATGGGTCGTAAGTTACCCACCATCATGGATGGGTCGTAAGTTACCCACTATCATGGATGGGTCGTAAGTTACCCATGGGTCGTAAGTTACCCACTATCATGGATGGGTCATAAGTTACCCACTATCATGGATGGGTCGTAAGTTACCCACCATCATGGATGGGTCGTAAGTTACCCACTATCATGGATGGGTCATAAGTTACCCACTATCATGGATGGGTCGTAAGTTACCCACTATCATGGATGGGTCGTAAGTTACCCACCATCATGGATGGGTCGTAAGTTACTCACCATCGTAGATGGGTCGTAAGTTACCCACTATCATGGATGGGTCGTAAGTTACCCACCATCATGGATGGGTCGTAAGTTACCCACTATCATGGATGGGTCATAAGTTAACCACCATCATGTATGAGTCGTAAGTTACTTACCATCATGTATGGGTCGTAAGTTACCCACCATCATGGATGGGTCGTAAGTTACTTACCATCATGTATGGGTCGTAAGTTACCCACCATCATGGATGGGTCGTAAGTTACTCACCATCGTAGATGGGTCGTAAGTTACCCACCATCATGGATGGGTCGTAAGTTACCCACCATCATGGATGGGTCGTAAGTTACTCACCATCGTAGATGGGTCGTAAGTTACCCACCATCATGGATGGGTCGTAAGTTACTCACCATCATGTATGAGTCGTAAGTTACTCACCATCATGTATGAGTCGTAAGTTACTCACCATCATGTATGAGTCGTAAGTTACTCACCATCATGTATGGGTCGTAAGCTACCCACTATCATGTATGGGTCGTAAGATGTTATCCACAATAACTTAAGTATAACTTAAGTAATACAATTTCACTCACTTGAACCATGTGAGACCCTGTGGTGACAGCTAGGGTGTGACATGGGTGTCTAGTAGCTGAGTGGACAGCGCGCAGGACTCGTAATTCTGTGGCCCGGATTCGATTCCTGGACCAGGCAGAAACAAATGGGCAAAGTTTATTTCACCCTGTTGCCCCTGTTACCTAGCAGTAAATAGGTACCTGGGAGTTTGACAGCTGTTACGGAGCTGCTTCCTGGGAGGATGGGGGGGGGGGAATAGTTAGTAGTTAGTAACAGTTGATTGACAGAGCCGAGCGGACAGCACGCTGGACTTGTGATCCTGTGGTCCTGGGTTCGATCGCAGGCGCCGGCGAGAAACAATGGGTAGTGTTTCTTTCACCCTATGCCCCTGTTACCTAGCAGTAAAATAGGTACCTGGGTGTTAGTCAGCTGTCACGGGCTGCTTCCTGGGGGTGGAGGCCTGGTCGAGGACCGGGCCGCGGGGACACTAAAGCCCCGAAATCATCTCAAGATAACGGAGATAACCACAGAGGCAGCCAGCTCGCCAGACACCAGTCCGTCAAGAAGTCAGCCAGCTCACCAGACACCAGTCCGTCAAGAAGTCAGCCAGCTCGCCAGACACCAGTCCGTCAAGAAGTCAGCCAGCTTACCAGACACCAGTCCGTCAAGAAGTCAGCCAGCTTACCAGACACCAGTCCGTCAAGAAGTCAGCCAGCTTACCAGACACCAGTCCGTCAAGAAGTCAGCCAGCTTACCAGACACCAGTCCGTCAAGAAGTCAGCCAGCTTACCAGACACCAGTCCGTCAAGAAGTCAGCCAGCTTACCAGACACCAGTCCGTCAAGAAGTCAGCCAGCTTACCAGACACCAGTCCGTCAAGAAGTCAGCCAGTTTACCAGACACCAGTCCGTCAAGAAGTCAGCCAGCTCGCCAAACAAGCAGTCATCAGTCAAGCAGGCCGCCCGCCAGCTTTCCTATCCCCCCCCCCTCCCCCATCCTCTCTCCTACCTATCCCTCGCTTCCTCAAGACGCTTAAGACAGTCTTCACACGTCTCTTCGGAAGGTGGGAAACCTCTTTAGAGTTCTTTTTGGTGGACGTCTTATCATTCCGTCGATGCATCTGCGATCTTACCCCATCTGGCGGTCCAATTAAGGCCCTTTCATCACCCTTTCTCTTGCTTTATCTCCTTCCATTTGTCTCTTTAAATTCACCTTCTCATTTTTCTTTTCCTCTCGTTCGGCTTGCTCGAGTCTACTTTTCTTATGCGCACAAATTATAGGCCCTTAAACTCACTCACTCTCTCTCTCTCTCTCACTCTCTCTCTCTCTCTCTCTCTCTCTCTCTCTCTCTCTCTCTCTCTCTCTCTCTCTCTCTCTCTCTCTCACTCTCTCTCTCACTCACTGTACCTTTAACCAAGATTTTAGCTTCTTGCACTTTATACTGTGAGTGTTCCTGCCTCGGAAGCGAGAACCCGAGGGGGAAGTCACTGTCAAGAGTAATACTACACAACTGAGTCCTGTGTAAATTTTCTTGTGTTGCGTGCTTGGCTTTGTGAGCAAGGATCTAGAACTTCCAGCTTCCCTGAACCTCTCTCTCTCTCTCTCTCTCTCTCTCTCTCTCTCTCTCTCTCTCTCTCTCTCTCTCTCTCTCTCAATAAAACACTCTTAACACACTCCCTTCTCTATGTAGGCGCACGTCAACAATACCTCAATCTTGAGTTCTTAAGCCCGATGATTGAGACTTCCTTATTTGACAGCGTTTGAAACCTAAGACACCATAACTAACCACTCACGGAATCTGGGCTCTTCCGAGACCTCTAGATCTCCTCTCGACGGCTCTAGCTCTTCCTCCGTGTCTTGGCTCAATCTCCACGTGTTTGTTCTCCGAGCATCGCTGGCCCACAGCCACTTAGGTCATCAGCGCCCACTCAAGGCCAAAGGCTGAAATATTATTGACTCTTCATGGGGCTCTGAGGAGCGAGGTAAATAGCTACTTCCAGGAATTTTAGCGCCGTGTCCGACGTTTATACGCGAGTAAAAGAATTGTAAAACAAAAAGTGTATGATAGAGGCGGGAAGTAGAAGACTCTTAATGGGAGATGTGCACGTCTCTCGAGGCACTTAAGAGGTCGTTGAGTGGCACTTCCACACCTCCGAGTGTGTTAAGTGCCGGACCAAGCGGCCTGTGATGGATATGTGGGCCTGCGGGCCTCTCCAAGCAACAGCCTGGTGGACCAAACTCTCCAAAGTCAAGCCTGGCCTCGGGCTGGGCATTGGGGAGTAGAAGAACTCCCAGAACCCCACCAAGCAGGTAGTGACACCTCCACACCTCCGAGTGTGCAAAGTGACACTTCTCCCCAGGCTAGTCCGCTGATGAGAGAGAGCTTAATAAGACGACAAAGTGTAAGTAGCGGGGAAAAGATGGGAGGGAGCTAAGCTAAGTGGAGAGAGAAGGGGTGCTTAGTGTGGAGGCTGCCGCCAGGGAGGTTATCTTGAGGTTATCTTGAGATGATTTCGGGGCTTTTTAGTGTCCCCGCGGCCCGG